GCTCCCAGGGAGGCGGCGTTGGAGGACAGGGGGTTTGCGGTGGAGGGACTGGCTGAGTTTTGGGCCGCCGCCGCCGCCGCTGCTAAAGTGGCCAGGTTCTGCAACTGCAGAGCACTCATACCTGGAGAGAGGAGCCAGAGAGGGTGGTGTCAAACCTGGGGAGCGAGGCTGAGGCGTGGCTGGGCCGCCTGGCTGGACCGGGACAGGGCACCAGAGGACAGTACTGAACACGAGTAAGCTTCCTGGTGTCCCAAAGGTGAGCAGGAATACAAGAGGAGTGTGTGCATGTGCTGTGTGTCTTTTGTGCTCTATCGTTACACAACTTGAACGTATCTTCGCCGCTGTGAGGAGTCTGCAGTGTGTGAAGGCAAACACTACAGCAGCTGATTTCGCTAATAAGTCCCACATGTGTTTGAATCAGTAAAAGCAGCTGTTGTAGTGTTTAGGTTTGGTGCATTTCTCTGAGGCAGAAATATTCTCACTGGTTTAGTTCAACCTATATTTCTCTGTCGAAGCAAAGCAACAAAAAAAAAAAAAAGACGACAGCTAATTAAACTAACCTTCCTAGTTATCTAGACTAGAGATTCGACTGGAGTTTGTTCTTTGCTCAGCTAAGATGTGCTTTAAACGAAAAGAATAATTGGTCAATAAAAATCATGATTAGAGCTGTGAGACCTTTGAGTATAAAAAGGTGCCTTTAAGTACATAGGGTGTACTTTTTTTAATTAGCCTTTTAGGATAACTCTGGTTAATTTACTGTTATTTCTTTCTGATGGTTAATGAATGCAACCCTGTCACATAAACTTCTTAGTTTAATAATAAATAGTTTCATAAAACCTTTCCTTCCTTCCAATTCCCCATTTCTTACCTGCCTTTCTTTCCTCTTTCTACTTCTCCTTTACTTTCCCTTCCTTTTCTTTCCTTTCCACCCACTAACAACAAAAAACTATAAACTTTTTCTTGTTAAATGACAAAGATGACTGCACATTTTTAACAGTAAACATTACTCTAAATGGAGAATAACTGTAATGTAACACAAATACAACAAAGACACCGTATTTTATACTTTAAGTTGTAAAACATTCCTGTACTTATATATCTGTAATGAGCAGACGTCGGCCTGCTGTCCATCAGTCAGGCTCTAATCACAACGGCACATGATTGAGACTTTTAGCTTTTTTCTAAACATTACGCTGTGCCCCAGTCAGCAGTCGTACTGTAGTTCAGGCCACCTGCAGGCTGAACTCCCCTCACTGTTAATCTGCTTGCTGGCATTAGCATACAGGCCTGTACTTAAGCATAATTAATGACTACATGCCAACACCTAAATGATGGTGAAGCAAAGGCTATAAAACACCTTCTGTGAGCACAACTCAACCTTTCACCTCACTCCGTGAGTGTGTTTGTGCAAGTGTGTGAACATTATGAGGCAATCAGAGGAAAACCTCATAAAGCAAACAGAATCAGTCACCAGAGTTGTTCTTACCAGCGAGGAGCTTCCTCTGACTCATGAGCTTGTTAGATTTAAAGTTAAAAGGGTGGACACTGTCAATGTGAGGTGTATGTGTCGTATATACAGTCTGGATGTATATACAGTACCATGGAAATACACACACACTCACGCACACTCACGCACACACACACATACAAATAGACACACACAAACAAGACACCATGAAGAAGATCCATCTTGTTTGACACCGTGGTGAATGGTTTCAGGTTGTAACATCCAAACAGAGATATCCCTCACCCAGACAACCAAACTGAACGCAGCCAATGACAACAGATGGCTGGATTCATCACTGGGCTTCACAGTTCTGATTGGTTAATTAAATATAGAAGGAAAAAAAAAAAAAAAAGAAGACCACTGCCAGTTTCTAAGTGTTCTTTTTTCCGAGCTTGTCGTGACGAGCTGCTGCAGCAGGAAGTGTGTGTGAGTGGAAAAACAAAGTAAAACGTGTGTGTGCCTGCAGTAATGAGCATGTATATTTGTGTTTTTTTTTTTTTTTACTCGTCTGTGCTTACCTACGAGCACAAAGAAGCCAGAACCAATCTTGTTTTCAGAGCGATTTTCTCCAATTTTCTGTGATACATCAAAAGCTCAAAATGGATTTCTATTCCTACGCAAAGGTGGGAGAATAAAACAGCCGTCGCTGTCGTTCTTTCCATCACCGTCTGCGACCGCGTGCTCAGCTCTCGCACTAATTCAGACAGTGTTCTCATTTGTAAAAGGCAGGAGATGCACCACGTGAGCAAGACGAGAGGCAATGTCAGTCAGTGCTGCTGGTTCATGCAGAGCGGGCTGCTCAGCGAGGAGAAGGCTGTTCATAAGAGCTCTCCTTTGTGGCTCTATCACAATATAAAAGGAGATTTTTATTTCACTGCCCTTTCTCCCTTGGTAGGTTTGGAAAGCGGCTGAGGGGACGGGTTTGACCACAGGGGCTCAGATCTGCTCGCACAAACCTTTAAGGGATAATGCCACTTCAGTATGTTCACAGTGCAAACAAATAGTCATTGTCTTCCCTTCACTTCCTTCACCTTGGCTGCCCTTTCTTTCATTCCTGTTTTCCTTGTCTTTTTTCTCTATTTATTTCCTTTATCTCTTTGTTTATTTTTTCCTTTCTGCGTTCCCATTTCCTGTATTCCTTGTGCTTAATTCCTATTCTTTTTCCCTGTTTCCTTTCCGTCCTTTTACGCTTCCTGCTTTCCTTTAATCTTTTCCATTGTATTTTTCCTTTCCCCCTTCTTTTACCAATCCTGCCTCCCCTTCCTTTTTCTAATTTCTTCTCTTCCATTTCCTCCTTTTTCCTTTCATTTTCTCTGCTTTTCTTTTCCTGCCTCTTTCCATTTTGTTGTGTCCTTCCCTTTCTTTTCCCCTTTCATTTCCTGTTCTGTCTTCCCTTCCCACTCCCAGCTTCCTATTCCTTGCCTTTTCTGTCTTTGTTCTTCCTTTCCTACATTTCTCCTTCACCTCCCCTTCTTATTTTATTCATTTCCCCTTCTTTTTCTTGTCTTCTCAATTTTCTTGTTTGCTTTCTACCTTTTCCCCTTTTTCCTTTCATTTATTTGACCTTTCCCTCTTTCTTTTCCCGACCCATTCCACCGTTCCCATTGTCACTTTCTTTCCCTTTCTTTATCATCTTTGCTTCCTTGCTCTGCCTTTTCTTTTGTCTTTCTCATTTCCCTTCCATCCCATTGACTCTAATTCACTCTGGTTTTCTTTCCTGGTTGTTTCTCCCCCCCCTTTTTCCCCCCTTTCTACCATTTAATTTCCTTCACTGTCTTTTTCCTCACTCTCTTTACCCCTTCCTATCACCTATTTACCATTTTGCTTCCCTTTGTGCCCTTTCCTTTTTTTCCATTTTCACTCTCTTCTATTTCCTTTCTTTATTTCCTTCCTTCCTTCACCCACATCTTCCAAACCTAATTCCTCCTCATTCCCTTTTATTAATTTCTTCCTTTACAATTTACCATATCTTTACTGCCTTTCCCTCCTCTTTTTCCATTTCCTTTCCTTTCCTCCCTTCTACTCTGTCCATTCTTTTTCTTTTATTCTCTCATTTCTTTTTCCTTTCCTACCTCTTCTACCTTTTCCTTACCCTCTTTTTCTTGTCTATTTTTCCAATCCCTTTCTTTTCTCCAAGCTGACGACAAAGACAACTCCACAGCGACTCTCTTTCTCTCCCCCTCGCTCTCCATGCTACCTCTTTTCGCCCCCTCTCTCTCAAAGTAGCTCTACACCAATTCTTACTTGCATTTGTCAAAGGTTATCTGCCTCATTGAACGTACATTTTCGAGACAGTTATAAGGAGAAAGGGAGCAGGCAGGAGATAAAAATAACTGGGTTAGAGGGGAATAAAGTAGAGCTGAAGCCGTACAGAGGAAAAAAGAGAGAGAAGGCGAAGAAAGAGAGACAGTATGAGACAAATACAATCTACTTCCCACATCAGAGTCGGAGTATCCGGGCTGTGCAGATGGTACGTGAGTGTGCGAGCGACTGTGAGTACATATGTGTGCGAGGATGCGTGTGTGTGTGTGTCTGTGTGTGTGTGTGTGCTCCGTGCAGCCTGTATGGCAGAGCTGGGCTGCACCAGGCTGGCGTTGGCTGCGTCTAATTGAATGCTCATTGGTGTAATTGAAGCCTCTCAGCTCTGCAGCTCCTCGTGTTAAAGACTGGGACCAGATGTCATTCAGCTGTGTCACATCTCCTGCCAATCACTAATGCTCGCTCTCTCTCTCTCTCTATCGCAGATGGAGGACCAACAGATCTCCAGATTCAGACACCGTTACTCACCCTTGGTTCCAAATCCCAGAGCCTATTTATCCGGGCGAGTGTGTGTTTGTAAGGAAATGTGTGTTTGAGCTCAACAGCGGAGTGAGCAAAAATTTAAATCAGCCACAGGGAAATTGCAAGGCACTGTAACTTGAGGGAACGCGACAGAAAAACTGGAGGATACATGACGGGGCTCGCCACTTTAAAAAAACTCCCATCACACTCAGAGCTGTTACTGTTTTCCCCGCGTCAACTGACTAAACAGCGTAAAATTAAGAGCTGACACCTTACTAAGAAACTCACAGAAGAATAGGAGAAGAAGAGAGAAGGAGGGAAGAACAGACAGAGTGTGAAGGCTGGAGGGAGGCGTAAAGGTGAGATGAAGAAACTGATTGAAGAGGGTGGGAGGTGCAAGAGTATCTGCAAAAAGAAGCTTAAAATAAATAGAAAAGAGAAGAGAGAGTGGTGAGAGAGAGGAGAAGAGTTTAATGGAAAGAGATATGATGAGGAGGATCCACGGGTCTCTGAAAGTCTTAAATAACCAAAATTTAAAGCCCTAAAATTATATTTCTTAAAGACAGAGATTTTATCTTGTTCAACATTTAATAGGAGCCTTCTTGGTACCCTCAAGGCTTAGATTAATACAAAACTGGGTTAATACAATATGCATTTTTTATTGCATCAGCTTCACTTTGGAGAATTGGACTGTCCCTTACCACTTCATTTCCTATTTCCTTGTGTCCTTTTCTTATTCAACCCATTTAGAGTTTGAGGACTTTCACTGGCTGCATTTAATGCACAATAGGCTGATTTTATTGGCTTTATTTATTTATTTATTTCCTTCTTTAAATTGGCTTTAAACTGGGGTCTTAAGTTTGCCTTGAACCTGCAGATAAAGGAATTATGGAGATGCAGATGACAAATCACAGGGACCCTCCACAGTGAGAGAGCAGTAGATGGCGCCAGCTAGCAGTGCAAGATATCCACCAAAGGAGCCCACTTTAAACAATTTTCTCCACTCCCTTTTTCTTTTTCTTCCCTCCTTTCTCTGATTCATCCATCCCTGCAAAGCCACGGTGCCACTGTTACACGCCCAGGGCACAACTCTTGTCTGGCCTCATTAAAAGATCAAGACAATTCTTAGCAACAGTTAATAAATCTTCAGGGCAAAGATCTCTCTTTACTCCGCCACGCGAGTTCATCTGTTATGCTCTTTGGTCCTCTTTTAGAAGTCTGTGAAAAAAAAAAATAACAGAGAGGCGCAACAAAGAGTCTATTGCCGTCGTATATCGTGGTTTCAGGGGAGTGTATCAACAGTTTTTTGACTCACCGGCCATCTGCTGGATCCCGCTGAAGGCTCCTAGGTTTCCAGAGGAGGTTGCCTGCTGAAGCAACTGATGGTAAGAAAGAAAGAAAGAAAGAGAGAGGAGAGACAAGTCAGAGAGAAAAGAAGAGGGAGAAACAAAGTGAGCTGGGTGTATAGCGAAAGCTTAATACATGTCTAAACAATACTACACTGGGAAGCTAAACTCGTAATGAGCGGGTTAGCAATGTGGTTTTTGCCTCAGTGCTCGATGAGTAAATGAGCTGCTAATATAGTTTGATCTCTCCTCTAAGCAAACACTGTTTGTATTCCACCATGATTCTTCCAGACAAGTTGAGCATGAAAGCTCTAATCTAGCCGACTAATTAGATTCCAAAACAAAAGTGGAATACTGATGCTGTCAAAAACTCATCCTTCAAAGACTTGAATTAACAGCAAATTAACATCTTGTTTCTATTGTGTGTGTAATTTTCTTCTTCTTCCAGAATAGAGCTTAATCTTTTCAAAAGACTGAGAAAAGGGATTGAAAGAGCATAAAAATCTGGGAGCCCAATTCACAAAACAGTTTTTATCTCAATTTTTTTTTTCCAAAAATAAATCAATATCCAGTAAAGGAGGGATGTTTGTCTGAGCTCTGTTTTCCCTCGTTGAATAGACAGGTGCTAATTGCACTTAGGATCAAACAAATTGAGAATCGAATCCCAGACTTTTGAGATGTGTTTTTTTGGGCAGTTAATTTAGAAACTGAAGAGCAATGAGTCAAAGGTTAGTGCCGAGACTTTCTACAAGAGCAGTCCTGAGTATGAGGCTCTGGAAAGGCAAAGGACTGCAGGGACAAAGGGAGAGAATGAGGTTTCTGAACTCTACTTTATAAAAAAATAAAAAATAATCAACAAATCAACCAGAGAGGCTCAGATGCTGTGCACCTGAGCCTCCACGGCAGGATTTCTCAAATTGGGGATCAGTGGACTCCCAGGGGTTCCATACTGTCCAAAGCCAAATAATGTATTTGTTTAATCCCAAGAAAAGTCAAAAGAATTTACCACAACTTCAAAATACATTCAAACAATTACTCTAAACACTCTCAGCTACTGTTTCCATTGTCGCTGTTCTGTGAAAACCATGTATCTCCAAAAGGTAAATTCTTCATGAGCTGAAAGAAACATCGCTGTTTTTAGCTTTGTTACAACAACATTTTGCTGTTCATCTAATGGGTTTCTAAATGATTTATTTAGCTTAACAAGTGTCAAACAATAAAAAAAACACTTCAGTTTAGGTGAACCAAATCTGGAGATGCAGTAGTTTTCATTGAACAACGAACATTTGCAGCATAGGAAAGAAGTCCAAAGAGGTCTGTAAATTATATTTATATAGCACTAAATGGTTTTGTCAAGTACATATTTGAAGGAAATGTTCACTGGACACTTTTTCAGTCCATAAAGTGCTACGCTTTTGTAGCAGACTGAAAGGGCAGACGGCTGGAGTTCTCATCTGTCATGTTGTTAGGTTAAAGCCACAAAACCACTTTGGCTAGGGTTAGGGAAAGATTGTGGGTTTGGTTAAATATTGAAAGAGCAAATAAATCCTGTCCCATGACCACAATCTTTCCCGAACTTTTACAGAGCCTGCTTTGAGTGGCCGTAACATAAGCAGAAGATGTTACTCATGTTTGAGCTGACAGGGAAAACAAGTGGAAAATGCAATCAGTGAATGTTTGGACTTATGTTCATTAAAAAAACATTTCCTCACTATAATGATTAAACAATTTCATCCAGGCGGTATTACATTTCTTTCAAAAAGGTATTTGCTGTAGCAAATTAGTAGCACATAAGGATAGTTTTTAGGAGATAAAGATTAAAAATTTTTTATTTTGTGACATGACATAACAAGCCAAGAAAACTGATTATTACTTTGAAATCTCAAATATGTCCTTGCATTGAAAATTTCATGACATTTTTTCATGGTCTAAATAAGAGTGAAATACAGGAAAAAATGCTGTATTAGTGCATCTTTTTCTGGGTGGAGATATTAAACGTATATTATTGGCTTCTGGCAGCTACAAACCCCATTCAGAGACCTCATTTCCTCGCTAAGCTGCAATCCCAAGAGGAGGATGGAGGAGAGGAACAATGACAGGGCTAAAGGAGGAATTACAGAACAAATGGAAGAAGGGAGGGAGAAACAGGAGGCCAGTGAGAGTATTTGGGGATTTTTCAAGTTGGATGTTTTCGATTGGGGCACTGACTGCGGCGGCGTTGGCCATGGGGCTGCAGTAAGGGGTGGAGGAGGTGATGGTGGAGGTGGGCGACGCGGCGGCTCTCCTTACAGCCAGATACTGCGGGGTGAGGCCGCCCAGGCCCGTCAGGCTCCCCCAGGTCGTCGCACTGTTGAGCTGCTGCATCTGCTGCGCCAGCTGCTGCTGCAGACGCCGCTGCTCCTTGTCCTTCTGCGTGTCGGCGAACTTCACCACGATGGGAGACGAGCAGCCCTGCAGGGGGGAGGAAGAGGAGGCGGAAGAGGGAAAGGGGGAAGAGGGGGAGAGATGAAAAAGGAAGAGGACAGGAGAAAAATGAGGAAAGGAGGACACAACAGAAGAAGAAAGAAGAGGAGAGAGAAGAAGAAAGTAGAGAGAGAGAGGGAAGAGTAAGTAGGAAAAAGAAGAGATGAAAAGGAGAGACAAGAAGAGAGATGAGAGAGATAATGATTGAAGAGGAGACAAGAAAAGAGAGAAGGCAAGAAGAAGAGGATGAGGAAGAAAGGACAGGTAAAGAAAGGGGTTGGGGGAATAGGAAAAAGAAGAGAAGAAGGGAATCAGGTTTGTGCACACACAAGTGACACACAAGTAAAATATGCAATGGTAGCAGGTAGAAAACACACCTTCACATAAAGATGATTAATATATTGTAATAAAAGCAGGAAAATTAAGTTTTTAATGATGGTGGGGGAAAGGACACACACACACACACACACACAGAAGGACACAAGAGTACAGTAACACAAGACCAATCAACACACATCTTTGTATTAAGAAACTTTACATCAGCAAAGAGAGCAAAAAAATCTATTCTTAATTAAAACTGTCTTATAAAATTCTCTCTCTCTCACTCTCTCTC